TCTTCATTGTATCGACTCTCATCTTCCTCATGTGTTGGTGCCTCGGGCGCCGGTGCCTTTGGTGTTGCTGCAGCGAGGGGTGGATCTGGTGACACTGGCCTCACGGATCCTGGTCCTCTGTGAGACATGGTATGTGTCCCCTTTGGCACGGGAGCTGATGCTTTTGCTGGGCTTGCCTTCACTACTGCAAGACGAATGAGTGGTGGTTTCTTTGGACACGGCGGCGGTGGCAACACGCGAGCATCAACGGGGGCTTGAGTCCTCCTGTCACTCTCTCGGGCCTCAGCTTCAGAGTCAAACACGACCTGACCAACATGGCTGTAGGTCGGTGCTGCCTTCAGGCCGAACTGCTTCAAGACATAGTCCCTCGACCTCAAGGCTGCTTCCAAAGCATCATGCGACTCATGGGTGCACATGGCACATTTGCCCTTGCACGTACCGCTCAGGCTCCATGAATTTTCCTGGTTGGAGTGTGTCAAGGTCAGGTGAGCTCTCGGGCATAGCTTGCTGAATGCCGTCGCAAGCAACCAACCAAAAGATACAGATCTGTGTCTGTTTCGCCTGCAATAGGCTATGACTGCCAGCTGTTGCCCTTTTTCATGGCATCCCTTCAGATGGTGAAGTCCATATAGCAATGCCTCCATCGTCTTCTCACTGCCAGTCATCCCTCGAATGATCTCAGGATGGGTGCCAACATGGGACCTCAATTCCGGGTTGTGCTGAGGATCTCCAAATCCCATGCAGTCGAATACTAGCAGTCGTCTCCCGGGATCAAACTGTGCCAGAATAGGCCCCAATGTAGTCAAATTCTTGAAACGGTCGAAGCTTGCAATTTGGCCATGGAACTCTTTTCCACACGTCAAGATATGCACGCAAGCGGGATCATCCAGCGTGAAAGTGCCTCTGGTTGGGCGCTCTTCGTCAGCCATGAATGCTGTCAGTTGATCTGATGGTCGAATGTTGAAGCTCATGCCAAAATCCGTGTTCTTAAGTTCTCGAAGTTGCTTTGGGAGTCTCTTGGACTTTAGGCTCTTGAGACCTTCTGAGAGGTTCACGCATAGGAGTCCTGAATTCCTAGCTCTGCACAGTTCAAGTTCTGCATTTCCTACATAACACTTGGCATCACCCATAGACTTTGTGAAATGCAATGCAGCTTGAGCATGCTGTGACAAAAGCAAGGGAATCTTCCCATCGACAACATGCGTTTCCATGACTCCCGGAAGTTTCGTCTCGGGGTTCAAAAAGGTCAATGCGAACGGAATTCGACACTTGCCCAAAGTTTTGGTATCACCGGCGAGTCCTCGAAATGCTTTTGAGTCACACTGCAAATCAGCTACATCATACCCAAGACGCGCGTACTTGTCTTTGGCGTTTTGGATCCATGCTTGTCCACAAACAGTTGCATTACATCCTTCGTCCAACACAGCCCAGACTCCAGGGTCTTCCATGATGTCAACAAGACGAAGTGTGTTTTCAATCGTGGCTTTGTTGAGATCCGACAAAAGTCCCATGTAGCAAGTTTCCGGAGCGGCCTCTCTGATGACTTCCACGGCATTGGCAAGGATCTCAAACAGGACGCCAACCCTCACAGGTTCTCCGAATTCTAACTCACACTCAACCTCCTGTCGAAACATCTCCATGACCTCTAGAGTTCCTTCAGCTGACATGCATGCATCGTTGATTTCATTCTCAATCATGGATGCTGTCGTGTCGAATGCATTGGTACGCATGCCTACCACACTCTTTGCCATTGCCTCTCTCTTGCGCGCCTCTTCTCGGGGCATCTCGTCGACAGTGGTCCCGCACAACTTGCAGTACCAACGGGATGTGGTCTTCGAACTACCCCGACGATCCGTAACCTCATGTTTACACTTTGCGGGATCGGCGACAGGTTTGCTCTCTTTCTTCTTTCTCTCATTCTTTCCGCAGTCAAGGCATGTCTTGTTCTCAACATATGCATTTGAACCTTGAAATGTAAATCTGGTGCAACGACGACATGGTTCCTCTAGCGGGGGGTTTGGTGGTTTCCCCTTGGCACTCTTGTCTCCAGCACGTCGAATTGCCTCCACCGGCACGTCTGTCAAGGGATGTTCTCTCAGGTTCACCTCCCCGTCCTGACTGACTTCGTAGTACGTGGTCACCCAGGTCAGAAAATCTGCCAAGCAGCGCGAAGGGTGCGAAATGCCTGATCCCCACTGGTAGTATCCAGGGTATTTGAACAACACCTCATGGTATGTCAAACCTTGGTGCTGACCAAACACGAAAACATTCTGTGAACCTTCAGGCAGCAAGTCTTGCTCCATGTCCTTCTTCCTACGCATGACCGGCGGGGACTTCTGCGGTGACCGACGGACATTTGGCTCGACCATCGAAAAGCTAGACGGTGGACTGCTGGTCACGCCTGACGACATGGATGCACGATCTGACGGTTCAAACTCCAGCTTCTTCTTTGGGGACATCTTGTATGCCATATAGCACGTACCACCTTCGGCAATTTGGCCACTGACATCGACACACATGTATTCATCTTCAACAGAAGACTCATCATCACTCAATGCGAAGTAGGCTGTGGCTTTGCTCGTTGACGACGTTCCTCCGGGGGACCTGTCGTTCTGCTTGGGAAACTTGCAGGCACGGTCTCCTGCCCAATGTCTTTTTCCTCCACAACGCAAGCATTTGGACACTGACTTCAACTTTGCTAGACGTGCAATCCTGTCTTGCATGCTCAACTGTGTCCTGAACACATACTTGCCTTTTCCTTTGCTCTTTCCACCTTTCTTTCCTGAACCTTTGCCTTTGCCTTTGCTCTTGCCTTTCAACTGGTCAGTCACGACAAAGGCCATCATCTGGTGCTGGGCTGCGCTGCCCAGTTCTTCTGAGACATCGTTTTCTTCATCATCACATTCTCCCATTGCCATCAACGCTGTGGCAACTTCAGGGTCCTCGACATAGTCTTCATGTCCTTCGTCTTCTGGTTCTTCATCTTCTGCTGCGACATAAGCTTCATGCTCATAGTCGTCCTCTGCTTCTGGTTCATAGGACTCTTCATAATCCCATGAGTCATCTTCAACAATGTACGCAGATCTTTGCCAACTGCGTCCTTTTCCTCCTTTGTAGGAAGACTTGCTTGAGAACTTGCCTCCGCCTTTCTAAGACTTACCCCATCATCCATCTCCAAAATTTGAAGCTTCCTCCACCAACGACGTCTTCGTGAAATATAGCTAGTCATGCTTTCTGTCGATTGGCGAGACAAGGGACCATGTGGGAGTTGACCCACTCTGAACAACTCTCGTGCTTCTTGCTGTCGAAGTGGAAAAACCTGTGCACGAATACGCGAAATCAACTCATCGATGCCAGTTGGGGTCAACAACTTCTCCAATCCCATGTCTTGAGCTGCAAGGTATGCATCACCTCGCAGGCCTTCCAACACCTTGTGAACAAGTGTTGCATACTCTGCTCCATCATCATCCAGTCCGGCAGTGCTCAGAGCTGGTTCTTCTTCATCCACCACGCTCTCGGACTTCGGGGTTCCAAAAGCTTCAAATCGTACTTCTTCATCCTCTGATACATCCCCAGCCTCGGTCGCATGAGTCGGTCTCCTCTGAGAACGTTCTGGTGTGGCTGATTGGCTTCCATGACTCGAATAGGTCTTCTCCGACTTCTTCTTCGCATGTTTCTGCTTGTACAAAGCAACGCGGACCTTGGTGCGAAACTCCCATTCGAAGAAACCATTTGGATCGCCACTGTAGATGTATGATCCGCTCTTCGTCTCCTGTGGTCCTGAGATACTTCCTCCATGGGATGTGTACCGCAGGCCAGCCAGCGACATCGCAACTCAACAAGTTTCGCAAAGCACTGGAATTACAACGGTTCGACGGATTGCGCGCAGGGTCACGCAATTGGGTTCAACGGTTGGATCCAGCGAGTCTCCCCGGGTGAGTCAGATCCTGAGGGTGCCCCTTCAGAACCTGCTCCGCTACCAGTTTGAATCTCGCACGGTTCCTTTTCGCAGCAGCGAATCGACTCAAGGGCCCTGTTCAGCCGAAACAGCAGCGACGGTGCATCAACTGTACGCAATACACCCTGGCCACAATCGGTGAAATTCACAGTAGTATAACTTGATAGATGTCCGGAGCAAAAGGCCACCGGCCACATTTGCGGACAAAAGGGGGGGGGGTGAGGCAGGCACACCATCACTCTTGGAAGTGTGACATCAATTCTGCAGAGTTTGCCACTATGGTCAGGTGATATCATGTGATAGAGTGCAACTAAAAACATATCACATCTAATCAAAGATCACGGGCATGGCTTAACATGAGTGAGCCGAATCTTAAGATCAAACAGTCCAAGCTGCGTGGGACGGGAAGATGATGGCGGTCCCCACCTCCTTGGAAGCATTGACCTCAAGAGGATGGACCGGTGTGGGGGCTCTCAGAGCCTTGGGCTGGGGTCCCTTGGGCGAACCCTGGGCCTCTTTAAGACGTCCAAGTTCAGTGGCCTTCATCCTTGATGCTCCAACATCCATATGCTCCATGATCAATCCTTTGAGATCCATTTAGATCCACCCTTGGAAAAACACGAACCCCAGGAATCACCGGAATAGCCGGGAAAAACCGGAAACCCCAAATCGCTCCAAACACAAATCGTAGGAACATCACCGCCACCCTCCAATCCTTCGTTCGACATCCTTTGACTTTCTGGATGGCGCTGTCACGAGTCTCCTCCAGCTGGCGCCGAGCGGCCACACGATCGCCATAACCTGAACGAAACCGATCGAAGTCAAGACGGGGAGGGGACCCAGTTGCATGTGACCTCTCCACAAGGCCGTGGTCTGAGTGAGTCTTGCTGTTAGGTTGGAGAACGTCGCTATATTGGGAAACAAAGAAAAAGGTATGAAAAAAGTAAAGGAAGAAAGGTCTACTTATGATGGACAAAATCCTTTTCTGTTCTACACTTCGGTCCTCCTTGGTCAGCTTTGGTGGTCGAGAACAAGAACTGTACATGGACGGTCCATGCGAAGCGCGAGGAGTCGCAGCGGTATGAGGAGCGGCAGCGAAGTGCGTCGCCCTCGAAAAGAGGAGCGGAGTGATAGCTGGCCCAAAGTCCATCTTTAGATATCTTTAGGCTGTTGGTTGGATCCATCTGGTTGGTGGTTTCAACCATACCTGAAAAAAACATATCAAGCATTGAGATTTGGCGATCCTCCGAGGTCTGGCGAAAGACTGAACATACAATAACAATGGACACCAACCACTAAACTGACCAATTTCATGTGTGATTGAGACCAACATGTGGGATAAGGGGGAGCAAGGACGCTACTGGGGGCTCCTGGCCGTACTACTAGGAACAAGAAGCTACTAGAAACAAGGGCATTGCTACTTTCCGGATCTTCGACCCGCAGTGGCTAAGCTACGAAGTTGCAGCTCTCCGCCATCGTAGCTCTCTGCGCTGGAAACCTCCGGCATAGGGGAGCGCAAAGGGGAGAGAGCTGAGGTCCCGGGCTTCCCAGAAAAGGACGGGTTTTCCCTGGAACCAAAGATGCTCAGAATCCGTTGCTTCTCTTTGGAGCTCACGCAGAAAGTCGTGAATCACCAACGACCAACCTCTGACTCTGGAGCATTCCCTAGACTTTTGGAACCTCACTGTGTTTACATCGTCTGAAATGAATTGAAATGATGTACTTGCCGCTGGCAGGTCTCCCGGCATTCTTGAAATCACACCCTCCAAAACCAAATCTGACTCTGTACGGTGCATGGCCATGCAGCCGCTTGTGCTCCTCCATCTCTTTCTTTCTTTCTTTATCTCTTTCTCTCTCTCTCTCCATCTCTCTCTTACTTGGGTTGGAGGCCGCTACTAGGTTGAAGGCCATCGCTATTAGGTTGGAGGCCATCGCCATTGGGGTGGAGGCCATTGCTATTGGCAACTCAAAAACAGATTGTATTGTTGTTACTTTAATGTGCATTGCAGTCTTTGCGGCATCCCCCACAGCAGAGTGGCCTGCACACTTACCGAGAGTACCCGCGCAACAGTCTCGGAGTGAAAGCCAACATCCTCATGCCAATTGTAGGTACCTGAGCCGCAGGTACCTGCTCCAGAGAGCTTTTTGAAACCATCCCACCAGGCGGCGATGATTGATGTTCTCTAGTCGATAGATGTTTATAGTCTATTGCAGTAATCCTTTTGACCAAAAAAACGCCTGGCATACTTTGCGAGAGTTGGTAGCACATGTCTGCCAGTGGTGAAAGTTCAAGCAACTGATGATGATGATGATGATGATGATGATCATCATCATCATCATCATCATCACCTAAAGGTTAAGAGTAGTGAAGCTGCCCTGTAGCTGTTGAAAACCTGCCTGGCAGCTTGGAGGACCAAGCATACACACCCACACACCGCCCAGCTCAGCGCAGCTCAGCGGCCCAAATCCTTGGAATCATAGATCGAATATTGCATGATCTCCAAGGATCCTGGCACTTGATCCATGCGAATCTGTGAAGCAATGGACACTGAGAACTGCAGAAGCTCTGTTTTCAAGCCCGGGAAGGAGGGTATAGTTAGTCAGTCGCTCCATTAGGCACTAAGCACGCGAAGGACACTTGCAGCTACGGTAGCAGGGTTCCGCCAACTGCTACATGCACAGCCTCACAAGGGCCTAACATCCACCCGAATGCGGCCCTAAACCCTAAACCCTTAACCATCCAAACCGCATGTGGTGGGGTGTCCAACCAGCACAACATGCTAGCATCTTGTGGTCACGCTACGTCCCATGAACTCCACAGATTGTCTGGACTCCCAGCAACCAATCAGTCCTGGAGCCACTGGAAAGCGCCAAAACCGCTCGTTTGTAGCATTGATGAAGCGCCAAAGGCCTTGCATAGTGCTCGTGATGCGGGAGGAGTCTTTGTGACAGACATTACCAGCCATTCAAAAAGTGAGACAGTGTAGTAGAAGTTTAGTCTTTAGTGGATGAATCTCAGCCATTCAGCCATCAGGAGTTGGAAATCTTCAGACTTGGGTGTTGTATGCGGCTGCATGCGGCTCAGCAGCGGTGATAAATCTGGCCGTAGAAGAAGCTCCTCAAAGGTAATGACACACCACTCGTTATGGGAGAAAAGAATGAGACAAGTGTGACAGATCCTGAGGAGTTTCACCCTTTGTCATTCACACTCTCGGTGTGCCCAGTTGCTGCAATTTGGCATGTCACCACCATCCCTGCCGGTCAAGGCTCTCCTTTGGAACTCCTGCAAACTGTGCCCTTCGGGACCTCAGTTAGCAATGACGTTCTGTTGAGACTCGGCTGCAACCTGCCCTCCCTACTTCACAGCGGCACCTGGCTGAGCCATGCAAAACCTTTTGCACCTCACACCTCTTCAGATGTTATCCTCTCTCTTGAAGTCTTTGACTTCCCCATCTCCTTCAGTTCCATCTCCCCCCATCGTACGCCCAGCGTCCGCCGCTCGCTGCCCACCGCCGCCGAGCCCACCGCGCCGCTGCCCACCGAGGCCTCTCCGAAGCGCAAAGCGCCCGCGCCGCCGGTGGCCCGGCGGCGGAGGGTGCGGCCTTGGTTTAAAGACTTGGACCTTTTTCGGAAGTCAATTGAAAAGTGTTGACTTCTTGGACAAAACTGTTTACATCTTTATTAATTTTGGCTTCGTGAGTCTAGGAGCTTACAGCAAGCGTCCACTAATTATTTGGTGGGATCAAGTTGATAAACTGAGAGCTTTTACCAGGCTTTTTGGTCACATGAGTCCCCTCACAAGACAGGAAGAGCATTGCAAAGCCATTCCACAAACTAAACAAAAACCATCAAAAACCTATACAATAACACCTGCGCTGAGTACCTGCGCTGTGTGTGTCCCCCTGCCCCCCACCTTTCAATCGCATCCAAACACTTCCGAAATCCATCCGCCCAGCTTCACTGCTTCGCAGACAGGAGCTGCTCTGAGTGGAAGCGCGGGTATTCCAAAGGAAGACGCACCTCCCGGCCTTACGCCCAGAAGCGTCCCCCGGACGTCGACCGCGCGTGGCACGGACGTCGGGACGAGTCGATCCATGCCGTCGTCGGGACGGTGTTGCCATATGTCACGACTGGTCGACCCAAACAAGACTGGTCTACCGGTCTACCCAAACAAGAGTACATGGGACTTCATGCGTCATCATGCCGAATCCGGCCTGCAGCACCCCACAGGATCACCCAACTCAACAAAGTCATCGCAGCTGCAAGCCACCATGGCAAGAGATCTAGAATCGAAAGTGGGCCAGGGCCTTTGCTGGCCAGGGTGGAAATGGAACTGCTTTGATCTTCATGGATCTTTTTGGGTCTATCAACATGGCATGGCCAATGCTTTTGGCATCTCGTTACGACGAAACCTCCTGAGTTTCATCTCCGAGAGAGGTGGAGAGGGCAGCGCTGCGTGCAACTGGAAACTGCTGCCCTCATGGTGACTTCCCGCAACCGGCGGCTACGGCACGACAATCGAAAAGGAGGTGACAAGTACAGTATCAGTCTCAGCTCACAATCTGGCACTTTGGCTGGCTCCACTTTTCGATGGCGAGCCAGCCGGCCACCGGCCAGGCCAGTCCACACGCCCGAGCTGTGGGTAGTCTCCTCCTGTCTGGCAGCCTCTTCTCTTTGTGCAGCTGCTTGCTCCTCCAGCCACTTCTGCTGAGCTTCCTGACAGCACTTTCTCGGAACATTGGGGTAAACCACCCCTGGTAGGCAGGTGATTTGGATGCACAAAGCGTTGGAAAGCATCGCCCAGATCGGCGTTTTGACTGGGCATCCAAACAACAGTTGAAATCGTGACCAAGGGCCTGACATTGAGGGGAACCTCTAAGGGCATCAATGGATTTCCACCACCCAGGGAGAGACTCACAGACCATGCTCATTTTGGTGTGGTGGAAATAGCCACACGAGGTGTGTCCAAGAGATATGTCCTCCTGCTCGCGAAAACGAGCTTCGTCTTGGCGACGTCTCTCCTCCTCCTGTGAATCAATGCTCACAGGAAAAAACATGGAAACTTCAGCAGCATGCTTGGTGTTCCTTTTCAAAAAAGGGTTTGCATGCACAATTTGGCTTGAAGTCAGTCAAATTGTGTCGGCAGCAGGACTCATTTCCTGCATGATACGCCTGGTCATATCCTGTCAATATTTGCACACAATCTTCCATCCTACAGCTAGCTATAAAACTCTTTGACCATAGAAGCATTGCCTCAAAGAGTGCCACTAGACCACGCAATCAAAGGCATCACCAAGCGTGTCCATGCAGCTTGCGTCCTCGCGGAGCCAGGCTTCCTGTGCCTCCTCCCAGAGAAAAATCACGGTCTACGACACGTTGAACCCCTCCCAAGTCCATCTTACACCATGATCTGCTGAGTGGTCGGTGGATAGTAGATGCCAGGCATGCAAACAACCCTAGGGAACCTATCTCGATGTCATCAATCACTCAAAATCCAAAGTTGCCTCCTGCTGCTCAGCAGTCATCTGCGAGAGTGAAATACCGGCACTACCTTAGTTGACCCAATTCACAACCGGGGCCTTGACCATTTATGGTATTTGCACAAGTCCACTTTAAACAGCCTCCCATGAAACGATTGCGCGGATCATCTCCAAAAACATGTTGCCTCGCATGGTCTGTGTTGTTAATAATGTGAATCGTCCAAAATGACACTGGTCGGAATACAATCAAATTACGTTTGAAGGCTGATTATGTTTGGAAGTGTTGGGACTCATGCAATTGTTGCGCAACAATTAGCAAGGGGGCAGCCTGAGCAGCATGTGATTGTGCATAAACGTTCGTTCTTGATCAATGAACATATCCTTGGCAAAATGCTTTTCGCACTAGTCCGTCTATTACACATCCCACAATTTCACCTCTGACAGTCGCGTAAATACGGATTCCACCAACAATCCCTTATCAACCGTTCGCTCAGCTCTAGAAATCAAAAAATAGAACTGAGGTCCCATCTAGAAATCGTTCCATGCCTTTGTAAAGAACCAGAACCGAGATATATTCCAACACCGATGTATTCCAACTCGGGCGACTCCACGGGGTCATGTGAAACAAAACTCATTTTGTCGAATGAGTTTAAACAGTATATAGAATGCCAAAAACACAGTAAAACACCACCCATATTTACAGTAATTGGTATTCATTGGTAACAAGTGCATCGCTACTAGTAACAAGTGCCTTACTAGTAGTAACAAGAAGCTACTTGGTATTCATTGGTATTCCGAACTCAGGAATCGAACGAACTCTGAGCCATGGCCGACGGTCGACAAGCCAAGCAACTGGCTTCACCGGCTTTCCATCGCTCCGCCGCCTGCTGCAGTTCTTGGAACTGGGATGCCAAAGTACTGATCTCCTGCACGAAGGCCCCTTTCTCACCAAGGCCCCCTCTGGGTACTACACTTGATGCAATACATACCATACAGTCAGAAAACCCACACCTGGACTGAAGTTAACTACGTCTCGGACGGTCCAATTTACTTGTAGCTAGCTTCGGCCTCCCTACTAGCGATGGCCCCCTACAAGCAATGTTGGGAGCGTATCATGACACAAACAGCTCCTCCAACACATCAAAGCGCTCTTCCATGATGCAAACTTCCACCTGAAACAGGCACGTTTCAGTGAAGGGTCAACGTCCCCGCAAAGAAGAACAAGCTGGCTTGGGCGGTATGGATCTCAACCTGACAGTTCGTTTGCGCGAGCTAACACAATGTGGTCCACATTTTGCGAGGGGGATGTTGCTCAATCTCTGAAGATCAGCGCTTTCCAGACTTGTCAGTTGCATGGATTGCCCACACGCTTGACAGCTCACGTCCCCATCCCCCTTTCTCACACCTGCTGCTGCAGCTGTGCCATACCAGTGGAGGCTTCATTGATCAGCATGTCCAGAATGTTTGACATGTCTTCGGAGAAGGCATTGTCCAAAACCTCTCACGTGAGGCGGCCACGGAAAAACACCAACTCATTTTGAAAGCTGTAGGCCTTTCTGATTCTATAGCACCTCCAAACAATACTCTTCAGTCTCCCAAGTGGTCATTTCTGGCTCAGGCAAGTCGAGCAACACTGCTGGATTTCCAACATCTTCCCTGCCTCGCGGATCGGTTGGATCAAATCTTTTCTCACTGAACCCAGCTGCTGCTGTACATGCTGGACGGTGACTTGTGGCACTGTTGGAGGCGCCTCGCAGATCGCGATCCGGAAGTCAGAGCGGTGGGTTGACGAGCTGTGCTGTGGATGAGGTTCATTACAATTAAAATTCATGGGAAGGTCTTCAACACTGGATCCTGAATCCTAACATTAAATTTTAAGACGTCTGCAGGGCCTCTCTTCTCACCAAGACCTAAGCAACATGTAATGTCAAACATGATCAAACACAGAGTGTCACCAAGCAAAAGAACGGATTCAAACATCCAGCCATCTCCAGCCCCTCTAGTTTGCTGAAACACAAATCACCCAACATCGTTACTCCCAACTTCTTCGGGAAACCAGCCTGCACCGGGATGCCGGCCACTTGTGTCGCTTGGGGCACCGCCTGTGTCGCTGCCGGTGCTGCTCGTGCCGGCGCTGCCTGTGAGGGCGCCGGGCGCCGGCGGCCAGCCGGCTGGGCAGGAGGCGCCGGCGCCGGAGACTCGGACGGCCTGGAAAAGCAGAAACCTAAAGCAGGTGGGTCCCAGGTTGGGGTTTGGGTGTTTGGTGCAAATGAAGGTCTGAAAGGGAAGTGTTTTGCTTTTTTCGTTCTACTAGATTCTTGTTCCACTCAAGGTCGGACGTGGAGAGTTGCGTGGAACGCTTTAATATAGATTGCAGGCATTTATGCTATGAAAGCTAACTGTGGAAACACGTGTGGCGTCGTGAAGAGCTTTGATGTCTGTCCATTCTCAAACTTGTCATTGGACATCGGACTACTTCATGGGAAACCCACTGGGAAACCCTATGAATGGTGCGAATCTTTTTGGATCCAAGAGGCTTGGAGCGAAAAAGCTTAAACAAAGGCATCGCCGGTGCTCCTCCCCGGCGTCCCCGTCATGGCGCGCGAGACCGAGACCGCCGGGGCGGTCTCCGGCCCCGCGGGAGAGCGCGCGGTCGCACGGTGTAAGCACCGCGTTGGCTTCGCGTGGCCGAGTGGTTTTGCACTTAGCTACGTTCGTAGCTTCTTGGGCCGAGCTTCTTGCTGGCAATGCCCTTAGTATATGCTTCTAGAGTGCGGATGCCATGTGACGCTGATACTCTGATATAGAAAGCCACTTCCAATAAGTCTCATTGGCCGCATGCCTTCGAAGAGGTGAGTTCATTAATTTTTGGCATAAAACACTACCTGTCGACACCGTCAGAACCTTAAATCGGTCAAGCCCGGCTTAGAATGCTTAGATGGTTTGGCAAGGCTTCATGAATCGCATTCATGGCATAAGTTCACCCATTGAGCCTTGGATGCAGGACACATGTCAGAGTCGATGCTTCATGCTTTTCCAGGTCGCAAGCTTTGGAGATTTTGTATATCCTTTGGACCACTTGGATTTGGAGGCTACTAGGAACAAGGGCGTCGCTACTAGGGGCTCCTGGCATCGCTACTAGGAGCGATCAGACGCTACGAACGGGGCTTCAAGACCTCACTTGCGCCCTTTTGTGGATCATTGGGGGCCTCAAGCTTCTTACTCCCTCCGCCACTCCGAAGAAGCCTCCCAAAAAGCCACTCCGAAGCCCCACCTCGCCTGCCCATTCTGAAATCTAAGACAAATCCATATTCCCCGCCAATCTCATTGGCCAATCGCCAACTAAAGCGTTTGGTTTGCTCAGAAACGGCTCAACCTTTTTCGACCTCGGTTGAACGCGCGCTGCCTGGCACGCACACATTTTTGCGATAGTGAGTCCTCTTTTTTGATGAAAGTCGAACATTGCGTCAAAAGGTTTGTTGTGTTCAAATCGACTTAGAAAAGGACTCGGTCAGATCCACCGAAGAGCAAGGCAACTTTCAGCTCGAAGACTTTGACTACGAATTCTGATGACGATGTCAAAGATGACAAAGTACCACCATCCATGAAGTTTCCACAGCTACATGAAACCGATATATCAGAACCCTTGTATCTCAAATTCATCGAGCCTTTTCCTTCACTGAAACTTTTCAAGTTTTCAGGCACTTCCCATGACGATGCTCACGCCTCCCAGCTTATCTTCATCCGCGATCGATGCTCCTCTCTGCCTTATAGGCATCCAATTCTCTAGCAATCCTTCTCATAAGTCCGCTCTGCGTGGAGGAACTACACAGGGATTTG